CTCCTGGTCTCAAGTGATCCTCCTGGTTCAGCCTCCTGAGAGCTGGGCTGTTCTATTTTCATACTTGTATATTCTTTTGTCGATACAACAGAGTTCTAATCAGCACAATATTACAGAGACTTTTGCTAACTTGTGGGCAAGTCCTCATTCCTTATTCCTCAAAATTGCTGTGGATGACTTTGTTCTACTACATGATTTTTTTTTAAAAGGACATGGAATAGATTTAGTATATAAATTTTACCATCACCATGTCAAATTCCATAAAAAATCCTGCTGAAATTTAGAATAGAGTTATATTAAGTTTATGGATTAACTTGCTTAGAACTGACATCTTTAGTCTATTTTCTTCCTGTCCCCAAATAAAGAATATCTCTCCACTTATTAATATTTAGGTCTTTAATGTATTTCAATACAGTTATATATTTTTTCCCATGTGAGTCTTGCTCATTTATCCTTCAATATTTAATAGTTTTTATTGCTATTTTTAATGGAATATTTTTGAAATCAATTTTTCTAATTGGCTCTTCTGAACCAAAAGGAACACTTTGGATTTGTGTGTGTGTGTGTGTGTGTGTGTGTGTGTATACATATATATATATTTTTTTTTTTTTTGAGTTCGAGTCTCACTCTGTCGCCCAGACTGGAGTGCAGTGGCACGCTCCCGGCCACCGCAGCCTCGACCTGCTGCCTGCTGGGCTCCAGTGATCCTTCCTCCTCAGCCTTCCAAGTAGCTAGAACTACAGGCGCGTGCTACCACACCTGGCTAATTTTTGATTTATTGTAAAGATGAGGTCTCACCAAGTTGCCCGGGCGGGTCTCCAACCTGCGGGGTCAGGCAATTCACTCACCTTGGCCTCCCAAAGCGTGGGATTATAAGCTGAGCCACCGAGCCCAGCCTGGATTTTTGTTTATTGATTTTTTTTTTGAGTTAGAGTCTCACTCTGTTGTCCAGGCTGGAGTACTGTGGCATGCTCATGGCCACCCCAGTGTTGATCACTGGGCTCCAGCAATCCTTCTGCTTCAGCCTTCCAAAGAGCCAGAACTATAGGCGTGTACTACCACGCCCGGCTAATTTTTTGATTTATTGTAGAGAGGAGGTCTTGCCAACTTGCCCAGGCTGGTATCAAACCCTTGGACTCAGGCAATTCTCTTGCCTCCGCCTCCCAAAGTGCTAGGATTACAGGCGTAAGCCACTGCACCCAGCCTATTTGTATATTGATTTTGTATGTAGAAACCTATTAGATGTGGTAGTATGGCTGTGTGTATACTGTTAACAGATCTTCTGATGCTGTTGTCTCCTTGCATTCTAAGGATAGCTCTACCAGGCCATGGCTAAATTCAATTTTCTAGAAATTTCTTTACAATTTTCAGGAGGTGCTTTTGTATAAAACCTGTAATCTGAGAAACTGACTGAGCAGAGTACTTCACCTTGCAGAGTGCAAAGGCTATTTGGCCTTGGGACCTAGAGCTGCCTTATCTGCCTCTGTTGACCTTCTCTGTGTGTTTTGCTTAATTCTAAGTGCTGTTCACCACCATACTCTCTTCACTACACTTGATTCTTTTTAGATTGTGCTCCATTGAGAGCTCAAATTAACTACCACCCAGTTTTTTTTTGTAACTCTCCATGGGGCTTATAATAGTACATATGCAAAGAGGTCCAAGGTAGAACGAAGTGGTGTGTACTGTTGATCGGGTAAGCTTCTGTTTCTTAACCCATTGTAGTTTCATGTTTGACTTGGCCTTCAGGAAGTTAATAGCAGTGTTATGTGCTCGAGGTTAGGATATTTCCTAGATTCTGTTTTTAAAATATAATTTCTCTTTCTACACACTCTTCTTATTCAAATAGCTTTTTAAAATATTCTTTTATATAATTTTTATTATGAATTTTCCTCCAGTTTGAATGCTACATAATTATATTACTTGTATGCTTCTGTGTAAGCTATGTCAAATCTTTGTGGTTTTTTGTTTTTGTTTTTTTTAGAAAGCAGGATTTATTGAGAGGCCAGAAAAGCTCCCACAGTGAGAAGGGACCTGAAGAGGTTGCTCGCTCTGTCAAACCTTTTTGCTGGTAGGTGGAGTTTAAATTCTAAATGCAGGGGGTGTGGGGGTGTGTGTGTGTGTGGTCACGCACACTTCTTCAGTAAGGGTGCCTGATCTCAAACCAGGTGAAGTGGGGACCAAAGTGAGGGCCCAAACTTTACCTGTGCAATGACTATTTGTATACCTAATCCTGAATTGTACCCCTCATCTTTAAAATAAAAATAAAAAAGAGCCAGGCTCGGTGGCTCAGCCTGTAATCCCGCGCCTTTGGGAG